TGCCTAAACCCTTTTATAACTTCTACAGATAAAAACCTGACTTAAAAATCAGACATCCTCATTGTGATGTTTTCACACTTCGAAGAATGTAAAATCCATGAAAACGGTAAAGCGACGAGTATAATATAGACTTGGCACAACTATGTAATACATAATTAATTGTGAGAACGCAACATTGGGGCTTGCTATGTAAAACATAATTGATTGTGAAAACGCAACTTTGGGGCTTAGTGCTTTGAGCGATAATAATTTTAGACAATCGCTGATCATTACAAGGAAGTAATGAAGAGGCGAAAGGCTTGTGGTATGGTGTAACATTCTCATTCGTTACACAATACACATGGCAAAGACTCGAATAGCTTCAAGTGCGAGCATGTGCTCGGCAGTTGCAAGATCTGCAGACAGACAACAGCTTACAATACAACTAAACCTATAGAAGCTGACTGACTGCATTTCTCTTACTGATATGTGTCGCGTTAAAAGTGACTTGCAGACAATCTTGCAATGTTAGTTGGATCAACTCATGTTGGATATTAAACGGAGCTGGGTTAGCGTGATAAGTTTGCATTTGAAATTTTTTTCATCCTCATATGATGTCTTAAAGGCTTCTCTCAATCATCAATCGACTTCATTTAACATTGTTAAATGTGAATAAATGTACATTCAATCTGAGCAGTCACAAAACAATAATGTATCACATCAATGCCGCATTCCAAGTGGACAAAGCTAGCATCAACTTTCCAACTCTGGATGAATATAACTGGCAAACCACCACGTATGTCATTTGCGCGACCTCTAATCACTGCTTTATGCGCACCTCACGAAATTAACATATGATAAACGCTTCCAGAAATGCCTATTTCTTATTGGCTTTCTATATATTCTTCACGAAGGCAGGCCTTCAAATCTATGTTCTTTACTTAGGTGAGTACTCTCTTACATTTAGTGCAAAATGTGTGTTGGTGGCGAAGGAAGGAGGCATCTGCCTCTGTTGTTAAAACAGACATAAGAGTTTTGAGAACAGATGATTTTGACACTTACGCTAAATCAAGCCTTGCGTACTACTTATCGCGGTACGATTTTCCACCGTGGCTCACTGGAATGCTAGAAAGCCAGGGGAAATGAAGGCTCATACGAAACCAAACGACCACGTGGTCCCCACTATACGATTTTTCACTTGATGGCAAATTGGAAATTTTACTGGTACACGTTCGTGCTCTGACCTCGGCGATAAATGGACGACATGTAATACAGGCGACCCATTAGAATATTTTTCGGTGACCTTATTTCCTGCTTCGCATGTAAAAAAAAGTATTTGGGACTTTTTGTTAGGTTTCAACAAATTCATGTAGCAATTTCTACAATGTGCTATACTTGGTTGGAAAAAGGCATGCAGAGTATGTTGCGAGTCCTATGACGCCGTAATCCGGATATGTGAAGCCAAGGCTCCTTGGATTAAAGTTAGTGACAAAGAGAAAAGTACGTAACTTGCTGGGGTAAAGTAGACTCCAGAACCCAAACTGCGTCCAGGATTATTCTTGCCGAAAAGAAACACCCCCAAGTGGCTGCTGCACTCAATCTAAGAAGCGCTGAAAGACGCACATGAATGATGGGTGAGAAGAAACGGCTTGAGTGCACGAATTGCTGAATTAACCGTAGTAGATGTCAAGGATGGTTCATCCACATCTAGAAAATGTCGTTGCCCATAACAAGGATGAGATTATTCACCAGTGGTCAACCTTTCGACGGTCACGCTCTCTTCAAAGCCTTTTAGAGCAAATTGACGCGCAATATATTTAGTAAAACACTTTCATAGCCAAAGTCAAAGAAGTGTAAAACATAGAGCAAAGTTGAGTCGTAAGAAATTAGCTTCGATTCAATACTCACCGTTTTGTGGTTTTTCTCCACCACTTCATATTTAGGCCAGCCGCACCGAGTGCTGTATAAGCGAGGTATGTGTCTGCCTCAGATTCTGAAAAACTTTTGAGATATGGCGCGAAATCACGCGTGATTACGGCGCACTAATCTTTCCGATTCATGTTTGGATTTTTGGTATATCCAGAACTCTTCGAAGGATTCCCGCGTTTAAATCTTGCTTTTCTGTGCGAATATGGTTATTTCGACTCTAATGCTTATCCCTTTATGCTTATGTTTTCTGTGCGTACCTAAGTAGGGCTTCTAGACCATTCGCGACGGCGTGTACCTATCCTGGTACACTCTTGCTTGAAGCTTTTTCTCGTTGAACAAAGACTTTCTTTAGACTCTCAAAAATCACTCGAAATCTCAAACTTTGGTAATTTCAGTAGGGTGTTGAAAATATAAAAAGCCTTTCTTATTACGTTGTAGCAGCGAAAATGAGATTATATTTCACAATCAGTTTCCTTTGTCCACCTGATTAAAACAGTGGATGGGTAATCATTCGATAGCTCAAATCTTGTCAGTTCCAATGTTGATTATGCGTTTCAAAAGCTTCTATAGAGCGCCGTAAGAGCGGAAAAAAAGACTTTGTTTCACACTCGATGCACGTAACACATCGCTTGACGTCGCATAGAGATTATTGATACTTATACGTGAAGATTATGCGTTAGAGACACCTTACCACTATAAAAAATATATTATAAAAAAAAACATATTTGAAGGTATTTTGCCCGATATGATTGAGATACGGACTCAACTCCCGTCTGAGGTCGAATCTTTGCCAATCCACTCAATTCTCTTAGGTATATATGAAACACCTTAACGCTGCCAAAAAGCAGTAAAAAAACATGAGAATTTTTGGACATACATAGCACAGTTCTCAGCCCAAGAACTACCATAAACTGGGATGTATTCAAATCATTAGTCGGCTCTTGGGAAGATACCGTTGTCGCCGACATCGACGAACAATACAGTCGGTTCCTTGAATATCTTCACGTTAGCGCTATGAAAACTGAGGGTGGTCACGAAGAGATGCTTGTGTCACCAGACACTCAAGCTAGTACGGCAAAGGTGGAATCGCACGAGCTACAGGTAACCGAAACATTACGCCCGAACTTGCGAAACGCTGCAGAGAGGCGATAAAAGAAGACCTCAAAGAGAGACGAGCAGCAGTTAAGGCAGAAGTCGCAGAAGACGGGAAGAGAATTCGTAAAACTCAGCAAGGCTTCGCCAATTATAAGACCAAGATGATTGCACTCCGATGCCCTGACGTGACACTTACAGCTTCCAGAGGGGCTATGGAGAAAATCATCCACCAGTACTACTGAGATTTCCCCGTTAGCCATGTCCTCTTACCGTCATATAAAGTGAAAGAAGATGAATATGTCGTTCCACCGGTCTTGCCTTCCGAAATCCAACATGCACTATCGTCGGCGAAGAACAGAACAACACCCGGTCCAAACACGATTAGATCAGGACACCTGAAGAACCTGCCGCCAGTTCTCATCAACCCTCTGGCTCGACTCTTCACTCTTTAATTGTCAAAATGCAAAATCCCATTGAATGAAAAACCAGCAAGACCGTATTTCTGTTGAAAAAAGGAGACCTTCACGACATAGGCAATTATGGCCCAATCAACCTGCTATCCATTGTCTTTAATCTCTTCACTCGAGTCATCCCAAAACAGGATTGGCAGAATAGTGGACGAAGGACAGCCGTGCGAACAAGCAGGGTTCTGAGAAGCAACTCCTACCATAGACCACATCCACACGATCACAAGACTCACTGAAGTTTAACGAGAGTACAAACTACCACTCTGTCTCACTTCCATTGATTTGAAAAAAGACTTTGATTCAGTGGAAACAGAAACGGTTATAGAGGCTCTGGACAACCGGGCATCCCTGCTCAGTACATAATGATCCTTCGTGAGCTCCGTAAAAATTTCACGACCAAAATATCTCCATTCTACAGCAATATCACCATCGACGTAAGAAGAGGGGTTCGACAAAGCGATACAATTTCGCCAAAATTATTCACTGCCCCTAATCGAAAACGTCATGTGAACATTAGAATGGGACGATATGGGAATGAAAATTGACGGTCGACATTTGAACCATCTTCGCTTTGCTGATGATATCTTCCTCATAACACCGAGCATAAGCCAAGAGGAACGAATGTCGACCTATTTCGACGACGCCAGTGGAAAGATTGGTCTTCAACTAAATCTAAGGAAAACGATGTTCATGAGGAACGGATGGATTTTGCATGCCCCATTCACGCTCAACTGAACGACAATATCCGAATGCTCCAGATACGTCTATCGAGGTCGTGAAATCAACATGATAAACGACCTAGCTCCAAAGTTGAGCAGGAGAAAGTGAGCGGTTTGGGGAACGTTTAAGAGCATCGAAGATGTAGTGAAGAGGACCAAGAACATCCGGCTCCGTGCCCACCTTTTCGACTCGACGATTTTTCCGCCCTAACGTAGCAGCAGAAACCTGGTCGTTACGTAATCAGGATGAAAGATCACCCGGCGTGATCGAGCGCGCAGCCGGAAGGTCGATGGTAGGAGCATAACGTATTTCGCAAATGAGAGAAAAGGTTCGAAGTTCCGACCTACGTCAACGATCGAAAATCAGAGACGCCGTTCTGTACGCCAGGATGTCGAGAATAAGGTGAGCTGGAGGACACGTGATGCGCTTCAACGACAACCGATGGACGAGAGCCGTCACCGACTGGATTCCTCGGGACATCGAGCCCTCTACAGGGAGATCACCGACCCGTTGGTCCACTTTCTTCACGAGAGTTATAGAATGAAGATATGATGCTCAGCGAATCCTTAGAGCAAGAAGGACCCACTGGGCTACTCTTGCACAAGATAGGAAGAAATGAAAGTATTGCTGGTACCCGCTCGAGTCACTCGACGATCAACGGGACGACAGGTGGTACGGGTGATAGCACAATGGCTGTCAGGTTAGGTAGGTTCATAGGAGACACAGTGCTTACTCGACCAAACCTGTTAAGTGTTGGTGGCTCATAGCTATGATGAATTGTTCTTGAAGAATGAGTGGTGGACAAGCTGTGACCTCTGTGGTGTAGTGGAAGCACACCTCACCGCAATGGGTGAGACGCGGGTTCAACTTCCGCCGACGTCAGGCTTTTTCCGACCACACAGTGCTCTCAGGTATTCATGAAACATAACTGCGCTACGAAGAGACAGTGAAAAAATAAAAAAAATTCTCGGATTCATATGAACGCATTTGTAATAAAAAGAACGACACCATGCCAAGAATTCAATATTTCCATGGGAAAAACATATTTTTGCAACATTTCCCACCGTTATCGATTATTTTTTTCCCTGCTCAATCAATGTGTTGTAATCTTTTGATAGCGTGGAGATTGCTAGTTCCAATGCTGAATTCGTTATGTGGAAGAGTCTTTGTAGTATTTTCTACTAATGGACAGAAGATAACGTTTTGCATTGAGTGTAATTAGAGCAGCTACTCAAACTTCACAGCGGATTTCATTGGACATCAACTAATAAAATATGATTCTAAGGAAGCTTTATTGCTGTGAAAAGATAGACTGTTCTCGAAGGGATTTTTACAAGAGTCTCCATGGCATTGAGAGCGTCCTGTTTTCTTAGAAACCCCTGGTTTCGACACGAAATATTGCGCCCTTAAAATAACAACGCGTTTCCAACCACTTTTCACATTTTTTTCGGGAAGTTTAAAAAGCTAAGGGATAAAGCTCTTTGCGTTGATTAACGCCAGGGATGCTCCATGCATTCGTGCTCAATTTCTAACTTCGTTTGACGTGATTGAATGCATATCTGGCCTTTACAATGACTCGCGGTGGCCTTCCGCGTATCGAATCAGTTCTGCTTATCCTCTGAGACAACTCTAGGACCCGCCTAGTATCAATTCAGCGACTCCGGAGGAAATGGATGGATTTGTGAACCATGAGCGCGGGATCGTTCCATTGAGCTCGTGTGCGACGCAGGGCACCTCTAACTACTGCATCACATGAGCTCACATCTGACCATACGCATTGGTAAAGGGGTTCGGCAGAGCGATACGATATCGCCAAAGCTGTTCACCGCCGCACTGCAGTGGGTACTGTATTCGCTCAATTGCAACGAGAAGGGCATTCGTGTCGATGGAAAATTTCTGACACATCTTCGTTTTGCGGAGAACACCGATATCTTTTTGAAAAGTGCCAGTGAAACAGAGACAATGGTGAAGGAGAACGAAGTGGGAGAGAAGATCGGATTATATATCAATAGGGTGACATCCAGTTCATGAAGAACCCATGGTGCAGTGGTGATCAAGTCAAAATAGATGGTTGTCCGATTGCAGTAAGTGAACCACCTCGTATGTATACCTGGGGCGCTCATTGAACATGGAAAATAACATGAAGAAGGAGAGCAGCGTGTGCCGCATTTGGGTCTCTCAAAAAAGCCAGCGACATCTAAAGGACCCATAACTCCGTGCTCACCTTCGACTCAGCGGTCCTCTCGGCGCTCTGCTATGCAGCTGGGACATAGGCTGATACTTTGATCACGTCATTATTGCCACGAACAACTCACAGAGCGCTTGAGCGATCTCTACTTAAATTTAGTCGGCGCACACAACATCTGGCCGGCTTGCGTAACTCAGGTATTTCGGTGTCTCATCTTCGTGACCCAGAGGTCTATAAATCTATAGCAAAACGCGGATAGGCTGGTCACATGCTAAGAAGAACAGACGACAGATGGACGAGAAGAATTCTAGAGTGGATTTCACGACAATGTACGCGTCTTCGAGAACAACCACCTACATGTTGGAAGGAGCGTGTTTGTTAAAAGAATTGAGGAACTGTATTCGCATCGGCACGATATGAAACTCGCAGCAGCAGCCATGATTGAATCGAACCACAGGCATAGGCAACTGTCGTGCAGCAAAAGGACGAATGGAAATGTGCTGTACTCCTCACAAGCAGCGAAAACGTATCGTCCATGTATCCAAGTATCCAAGTATCTAAGTAAATTCAAACACATTCTCTCTTCTCACTAAAAGTGAAATCCTGAGAGGAGTAGGCCGTGGTCTCATGTCATGTGGAATTCTGGAGCAAACGTGGCAGTAATTATGCATAATCTTTGTTTCACTATGATGTGGTCTCTTTCTTCATAGTGTTCGCGATGGTGGGCTCTCAGATCCACTAGCAAGAGTGCGTCATGTGGAATACATTACCATGAATGGTTTTGGTCTTCCTGATGAACTCAGACTGCCTTCCAGTCTGGTCATTGCTTCTACTACGTAAATTCCCTTTAAACTTAATTTGGACGAACTCCTAAGTCCACAAAGAATGCCAATGATGACTTTGAAGAATGCATGGGTTTTTTCTGCAAAGCACTTTCAAGCCCATGTAGAGCACTTTGTTGACGCATGAATGAAAAAAGAGATTCAGTGTTCTACTTTCTTTAACCGCAAATGTCCATCACGAATTGCTAATTGTTTTGATAAAGCAGTGTTCTTGGGCAAACCCATGGTGATTTGAAAGCCAATCCTACAAAATATTATTGTCGCATGTTCAAAGTAACTTTGCTTCTTCAGTATTATCAACGGCACAACGTGAACTGATATTTCTCGTCTCAAATGTTTTGCCTGACCTACACCCAATTTTCTCAGCCATCGGTGGTCTTTATAGTGAAGACTCGGACGAATATGATCGTCCATTGAGAGGACAGATCTTCATCCCAATCAGTCAAGATTTGACAACCTGAGAATGATTGTGTGATCTCAGCCTCGCCTCACTTGCCATGCTAAAGAAAAATCTCGGAACATATTAATTTCATAAATAGATTAATAAGGCCCAGCCATCTTCCGGGTGCATTTTTTCTTACACACGAATACATAGATTGTTAAGATTCGAACGTAAAGCTCTATATACTCATAGCAGCTTATGTCTTGAGGACCAGGGTGGACGCCAAAAGGTGTATTCGTTGAAAGTGACTTTCATCGGCTTCTCATATAATTCTCAGTCACTTAATCGTTCGCTTTTGGCTGAAGTAGGTTCTGTAGTACAAGTGGCAGGAGCGAGAACGTACCGAAGCAAACCATACGTCCAAGTAAACTCTAATTATGCCATTCCTGCTCAGTATCAAGAGTGTTTTTCTCTTCATTTACCTCCGTCTTCGGAGCTCACGAAACCGCCTTTGACCTGTGTTTAATCACATGCGCGCATTCTGTGTATACGCGTTGTGGCCTCCCGGCAAGACATCTCTCCCTGCCGCATAGCCGTTAACACAAGTTTGGCCTCCATATGCAATGAAATAGATCTAATAAGCATCGGTTATGATTGAACTCTTCCAATCCATTTCAAATTCTTTAGAGTTCCTTCAATTATTGGCATATACGTACATAATCTGCGTTTTTATTTTGACTCTTTCATTCAACTTAAATCAGTAATTCAACAAGATCAACTTTTCATTCCTAATGCGACGTCGGAGAATAGAGTGTTGAACATTGTTAAGAGTGTGAATGTCCATTGGAGTGATTCCCGGATGAGTTTCAGTGCTACTTTTACGACTTATGGACACCAACATACGAATGAAAGAAACGTATTAGCATTTAACTGCCTGAAGCCTCATTCATTGACTAAACAGTATGTTGAGATCCTCTCATTTTATTTGAGCGAACATGTCATGCGATGTGGTAAGGGCTCTTGTACAGCCCGATACACGTGTTTCGTCCTTACAGACTCGTCAGTCGGACACAACCCGTCGCCTATTGATCTTTTTATTACCAGCCAGTTCTCTCGGGAGCCCTACTCTCCCTACGAAGAGTTATCGAAGGCGAACCTTTACACTCTGTGTCAAGTGAAATTTTCCCAACTAACACAGAGTGTTGTACACTCGATTGCTCTCTGGCTGGTATTTTTATCATATTACACCTTTATTTCGAGTGTTTTATTGAGATCACGCTCAAATCTCAATAGATCCTTTCATCTTATATGAGCCATCATGTCATGTGGTCAGTATGTTGAGAATGTGTCAGATCCGATTCAAGCAGATAAGTTACAGATCTTTCTTTTCGGAGTTTCTTTTACTGTGAATATAAGTTGATTTACACATATCAGAAACTATCCATTTTTATAATCAATATCAGAAAGGGGTAAAAGCTCCGCTGCCGAAAATGCTAAAGAAAATGTGAGTTTCTGAATGATTCTATATGCCTTCTAGAAAACCATCATCTACCAGGAAGGAAGCCCACTGGCATTAAGTCAAATATGAAAACCTTTGAGGAAAAGCAGAAATTCTTAAACTAACCTCCACAAAACGAAGATTTGAGTGTTACGTTTTCTTCAGAAAAGTGATAGCTCTTCCAGTGGAAAGGTTGAAAACTAAAACAAGGCTGCAAGTCGTGAAGCCAGTGTAAGGTGTTCATTAGAATAATGAAATCGCAGAGTAATGTTTCAGTTGCTAATAAGGTCGAAAGATAGACAGCGCTTGCTGACTCTGCAGCCATTCACTTCAGTTACTGCTTACTGCATATCAAAAGTTGATGAACTTGGAGAGAACATAGAGCAGATCTAACAACCAATGTTCTCATAGTTTTTATAGAATATGCTTAAAATCCATCAATCACCGTTTTTTACAAGTTTAATTTCGTTCTTCTTATACAAGGTGATCTATTTCTAGACCTAGGGTTTCACCTCTAGCTCAAGAAGCTTGGAAGCATATGAAAAGGCTTGTTCAAGCTCGTATGAGTACTTCCATAGGGCATAGTACTACGAAAGCGGTCTTCAAATGGTCCTAGCAGATGACCATAGTCAAGGTTTCTACAACTTTATTGTGAAGCAAATTTAATGTCACCGGAATTTTATGTGGATTCACGCATTGCCTACGACTCACTACTTCCACCTACGTTGTCTTCATGGACTAGTAGATTTTTTCAAACACTCTTCCAGTTGCTATTTCCCCTTACGTTGGCAACTGTAGAAGATGCTTTAGCTGACTCTAGTTTTATATACCCAACAAAGAAATCGGTTCTGAAATGCTTAGAATAGTTACATAGATATTGAATGTAGTGCAGCAATGTTAGAAATATTGAGTAGATCCGATGATCTTTGTCATTCCCATAGTCAAAAAATGCATATTACATTTTCTTCAATT